TTTCCCGCGTCCTGCTGCTCGCGGCTCCGATGCTGCAGGCTCTGCGAGCCCATTAAGGTCTGGATGTGGCTACCTGCCTGTGGGTAACGCAACCCGTTAGGCCAGAAATTCAGGAAGCTGAAAAGAAGCAATTATTACAACTTACAGAGTCAAGGGAAAGCAAACCTCTTCGCTCCTGCCAGAGGTTTGCCTTTTGACCACAGCTGGAAACAACCACGATTAAAAGCAGCGAGGATACGCCCGTTGTATTTAGTGGCCCTGGGAATTTCAGGGAAATTAGCCGTATACGGAATGCTCTATAAACAGAAAATATTTTCTTCCTCATGCCGTGATATTTGCTTCTGCTCCGAATGTTTTGTGAATGGAGAACATTTCATAAATTGAACTGGGGTGGATTATTCATCACAGCGGAGTCTGAGGGTACTGCGATGCGTTTTTTCCTGCGGGTAGCTTGGAATAAGGGATTCACCACAAACAGAGACATTTGCCACTATCGTGCACCGTGTACGGCAAGCACGCATCGGTTAAACTCTGTGCCTTGTCCTAGGAACACACGGGGCTTTTACAACGTATGAGTAACCAAATCATCAAATTTCTACTACGATATCCACCAATTTGAAGCTCTAATACTTTGTAAGCGAAATACGGCATTTCATTGACTCGGCCTTTTGCCATTTTCAGAGAGAAACGGCTGGCTGCTGTCGCTGTCCCCCCGCTCCGTCCCCGCTGCCTCTCCCGCCTGCCGCTGCGACCTGCCGGGTGAGCTCTGCTTCCCGCGTCCCGCTCCCGACAGGGTGAGCCTGCACACTTTCTTCAGCACGCAGCCTCGACTGGGGCACCCGAATCACAGGGATATTCGAGGCAAACTTTTGCAAAATAAATTCAGCTGAGATGCTTTTTACTTTTCATCTTTACAGGATACAGATGCTGTTGCTTATGAACAATCACGTGCAGCTTAGCTATAAGGGAATGAGCAGAATTCATGCTCCGCTCTATGATCAAATGCTGGTACCTCCACGGAACCACGCACCCCTGCCAGCAAGAGCCTTCAGATCCTGCACACCCACCCC